CCCAAGGCCACAATGCACACTGACGTGCACCACCACATCCTTGTGCCGCAGCAGCATCTTTGGGCTTCAAACTGCCCATGCTCAGATTCGTAGCTGGCAGTTCAACCCTGTGCCTCCAGGGCTTCTAGTGATCATGCAACTCTCTGTGCCACAGAGGATATACTAACTCATGGGGACCCTAGAACACAGGGTAGAAGGACCCGCTGTGGACTTTTGAGACTGTAAATATTTGCAGGAGTAGAAAGCCTCTTTTTTCACACAGGGAGAGACTGGTGGTTTGGAACTGCTGACCTTGTGGTGAGCATCCCAAAATATAACTCACTATGCTATCAGCACCTCTTCCTCGTAATAATAAACCGAAAATCCAAACTCAGTGCCATCAAGATGATGCCAACTCAGAGCAGCCCTGGAGGACCAGGTAGAACATCCCCTGTGAGTTTCCCAAACTTTAACTCTTTACAGGAGTAAAAAGCCTCATTCCTCTCTTGCTGAGAAGCTAGTGGCTTCAAACTGCTGACCCTCTGCTTAGCAGCCCAACTTGTAACAATGATCCCATAGTACTTATCAATTAATTAATATAACACATAGCAGGCATGAACCATGTGCTAAGAACTTTATACCCATTGTCTGATTAAATTCTTACCACAAGCCTATGATCTTTAACCCTCTAGCTAAAGAATTTCCAACATGTGGAGTTAAAATGTGTCAAAGATCATTTATAGAATCACCTTGACCTTCAATATTGAAGTCCAAGTAAGTGTAGTTATATATGAGGACAGAGCTAAATGAAGGGGGGGGCGGAATACCCTACACACGGTGGCTCCATGTTTAAAGTATTATTAAGAGTATACTATTCTGCACAGTCAAATAAGCTGGTTTACTAATAGGCCTATAATGGATATTATAAAGGGAAAGGAAATTTAAATCTTGGCTCCCCCCAAAGAAATAATAAAATGTTTGGGAGAGGGGAGAGGGGCCAAATTTAAGGGAGAATGGCATAGTGTGTGTACAGGTATTACATAAACTATTACAACTGTCTAGACATTTGTTTTCAAGTGCAACATTTCACTAAATTCTCAAGATAAGCCCAGCACTGGTATTTGTGGAGGTTGAAGACAGACTCTCTCTCACAATCTCCTGGAGGAGGGAGGCAACAAGAAAGTAAGTTTGTGTTAGTCAATGTCAAGGGCACCAGTGGAAAATGACGTAAGGAATAATGGACAATTAATTACATTTCCTGACATGAACTGACTGAATCTTTGTTGTGAGATAATTTCAGTTTTGTAAGATTTTCCCTTGAGTTTTTGAGTCTAAACAATTATTCATCAAAGCCCCTGCATCTGAATGGCATACCCAGAAACATATTTGCAGAAGTGAAGAGATGAGTAAATAAGAAGGAAAGTAAATGAACTCTTCATCATAACAAGGATTTGGCAATTATTAAAATATCAAATTCATTACAAGATGTAATTTCCAGCAGCAGAGAGCCCAGGGGAAAGAATATAGGTCCAAATTGTTAAGCGTTTTTAGTTGTTATCACCCAGTTCCAATATTGCGGTTTATATCTATATTTATATATTACAGATTTTATTTTACAGATTACATATATACATAAAAAAATACCCAAACCAAACTCACTGCCATCAAGCCCATGAGAGGCCATTGGACAGAGAAGAAGTGCCCCTGTGGGTTTGCAGGCGGTAACTCTCCTGGAGTAGAAAGCCCGCCTTCCTCCTCCAGAGAGGCTGATGGTTTGGAAGCGCTGACACATCGCCACTACACCGCCTGAGCTCCCATCCCTACCAATGTTGCTCTCTGTAGAGATCCACCCCTGTGCAAGATAAACATCTGTGGCTGTATTTATGTGCACGGATCTATATGTATGTACATGCATGTAACTATACTATGGATAGCAGGCTCTATTCTAAAGTCTATATATAACATGACTATGTGAGGTAGCTACTATTAATACTATATAATCCCTTCATGAAGTATCAGAACCTTACAAAGTATATGTAGTGTACAGAGGGTATGATTTTGCTAAGTTACTGGAGCCAGAATTCACATTCTAGCTCTCTGTGCTCAAACTGGTATCAGAAATGATTTATAGGAGCCCTGGCTTATCTTCAATATCCCAGAGGCAATGGCCCACCTGACACGGCCTACTACACACCTCTCCAATGGAGACACAAAATGAAACTCACTATCTTGCCCCCGAACTTGTTGCTATTTTCCTCTCAATAAATAATACCATTTTTCAACTCCCTGCCCAAATCAGAAGTCTGGGATTCATCCTTTGCTGTCTCCTCTGTCTTCCTCTCGCCCAGCCACAGTAAATAGCCATCCCTGGGATGCTCCCATGTCCCCCTTTCCCCTGCATCCCTTTTACACATGCAGTTCCCTCTCCCCAGTAAACTAATTGCAACACTCTCTGAAAGTTTCTGAGAATAAAAACGCAAAAGGAAATCTCTTTCTCTCCCTCTCCTCCTGCCTCCTCTGTCCACCTCTCTTCCCCTCCTGCAGGGCCATGGAGTCAGTCCATTCAAACTTGGTGACCCTCTAGGGCAGGGTAGAACTACCCCTTAGGGTTCGGAGACTGTAACTCTTTATAGGAGTAGAAAGCTTCATCTTTCCTCCTCGGGGTGGCTGTGGTTTCCAACTGTGGTTAGCAGCCCAAGGTGTGAGCCACTACTTCGCCAGGGCCCTGTGAAAGAAGTGAACAACCTTCAAAGAGGGTTGTCATGCAATTACCTGGTCTCTTGGCCAGCTAAAATGTACAGGGCTCAGTACTCCAGGTCGCTTGCAATTCTGTTATTCATAGAACTCGTAAATTTGACTGCCTCGGGGATTCCTGACAGCCCCAAACTAAGTAATTAATTCCATCTAAACTCCCTTTCAGAACTTACAGAGCCATGGAACATTCCGTGCCTCCCTCAGCAGATTTGAGTTTGGCCTTTAGCCTTAGACCTCAAACACATCCAAGCTATGGGCTTTCCCACATAAAGGAAACCTGCGTTACGAGAGCGCCTTCCCGATGAGCAGCTGAGCACTTTAGTCTCTGCAACACCAAGGCTCCTTCTGTTATGAGTTAGTGTAATATATTACTCTTCATCGCAACTAGGCAGGAGACCGTTACACCACGCACAAGGAATGATGAATTCAAGTTGGCAAGTCTCCTAGCAGCTCCGAGATTTGATTATATGAGCTGCCGTGGTTTTAAACAGTTGAATCTGAGCTGGTGATACACGTGGATTAGAAAGAACAATGAATCAATCTACTGTTGTGGGCTTGATTTCGGCACGAATCCGTTAAACCAATGTAAAGAAACCTATTTCATAAGTCCAGGCTTTACTTTCTAACACAGCCAGTGATCCTGCAAACAGATGTGACTGTTCATAGAAAAGGTGTGTATGTCTTTACACATGTATACGTATAGCTGCATCTATAAACACATATGTACATATTGACTGGAAACCAGCCACAGCTCTGCGGGAGAAAGACTGGGCTCTCCACTCCCATAAGCAGTCACAGTCACGGAAACCCGAGGGGTCGCTGTGAGTTAGCATTGACTCAATGGCAGTGAGTTTGATATTTTACACACACACACACACACACACACACACACACACACACACACGATGGCAATGCAACCCATCAAGGCACTTATTTATAGAAACAATTTACAGCACATATTCTAAAGCTGAGTTCAACATGCTTCCTCTGGAAATTGCTATTTCAAGTCTGCTAAATAGCTTTATTGGTTGGGTGATTTTAATTCCACCAAGACACAATTTTTTGGTGACATGAAATTGGGGACTATGATGGTACTTGCATCTTTAGGGTGCTGTGGAATTCCGAGGAAAAAAGGAAATCCATAAAGGACATAGCACAGTTTCTGCCACACATGAAAAAGGCACTCGAAGGGGTTAGTAAAGATCAGCATCTGCATGTTTCCCATTTATTAAAACGTTCACTGACGTCTGGAATCAGTTACTGTTAATTAATGTAGCCCTTATTTCCACAAAGTCAATTTGGCCCAAAATAAACAATGAATTCCCACTGCTACTACTTATCAATACGCATTACAAAAAAACATTTAGATGTATCGTATCTTTGTTTACACAATCGCACAGATGCTAAACATGTTTGCTTTGTTGCATTGGGACAATAAAACTCTTTAGGAAATGCATATCTTTTGACCAATAGCAATATTTTATGTAGAATTAGTTACAAAGGAAATTCCAGGGGAAATGCAGACTTATATTTAGTAGATAGATAAAAGCAAGGGCTTTCACCATTTAAATATATTAATGTTGGTCATATAAGTAAAAAAAATAATTTAAAGTGATTTGCTCAAAAAAGAATCTAATTAAGTTGACAATCCATAAAAAAATTAAGAACATGAATATTAAGAATTGAATGGTGAAAAAAAAAAGGAATTGAGTAGTGTGTCCCCAAAAGATATATTGATATCTTCACCCAGAATAATCACAAATAATCCAAATGTGACATTATTTGAAAATAGGGTTTTGACGATGTTGTCAGCTAGGTTTGAATGATGTCATGCTACAGTAAGGGTGCTGCCAATCCTATTTGGTATCTCTAGAAAAGAAGACGAGATTCACAGAGACAGGGAACCAGGGCAAGGATGTCAGGTGATGCTGCACCTGACAGAAAGGACTATTGGAGGTTATCAAAAGCTAAGAGACAAACATAAAACAGTTGCTTTTTAGAGTCATCTGAAGGTGTCAACAAAACCCATAGTGTGATTTGGACTTCTTGTGAGAAAATGAACTTGTGTTCCTATGAATCACCCAATTTCTGATATTTTAATACAGTAACCCTAGAAAACGAATACAAGATGTTCTTATACAATTCATAAATAATATGATTCAACCCTCAGACTCAAATCTGCCTATTTTATGTTGCAAAATGCTCCTGGCCGTAAGGAACACGGTGCTACAATAGATCATGGTTTTCATACTCCTCCATTATCTTACCTCCTTGTAGACTCCAAGGTCAACATAGCCACAGATGGGGTGGAAGGCTCCGGTCCCACACACATAAACGTGTGTCTTGTTATACGGCTGAAGTACTCGGATGAAATTTGCACATTCTGTCTATTGGACATTTAAAAAAGTAGAATTAGCACACAATTCAGCTTGTTGCAAAGTTATCACTCATACTACCTGTTTTCTAACTAGAGAGCGCTTCAAAAATAAGAGCAACATTTAATACCTCACTTAGCAAAGGAGGTAAGACAAATATAGAAATGGAAGAGGAGAGGACTGGCTCTAAGGCTTCTTAAGTTACAACGTATCTCAAGTAATCAGAGTGACGTACTGTGAAAACCTCTCTAATAATATTAAAGTTGTTGCTGCTGTTGCTATTTGGTTATAATTCAGAATCAGGAATCATTCAGGACACGGGTCTTCACTCAGATACATGCCTCTCCCAGACCCTTGGCCTCTGGGTCCCTTGAGTCTCTTCAACCAGACTAACCATTGTGCTGCTCAGGGCAGGGTTACAAAGCTCTTTAGATTCCCAAATAAGTGCCATTATGCACCCCCACTCCTCCAACACGCCTCCTTCTGAGAGAGTACTCAGCTTGCTCACTTTGTGTATTGGTATTTCAGGGATCCCACTTCACCAGCAAGGTTCTTGATGGAAGGTGCTCCGCTTTCCCACTTTGTGAGCCAGGGAATCCGCTGAGCCATCTTTTGCCAGTCTCCTGGTTCTACTGCCTCTGCTTCTTGCTGTGTCTGTCCCCAGTGCTAGTCCTCTCGCCAGGAGGTCTCAGCAGAGAGAGCCTGGATACAAAGGACTCTTGGTGGTAATGAGGGGTCCCCTGCCTATCTCTAAAATGCAATTATAGCCTAGTGGGATGAAAAAAAAAGGGAGAAGTCTTGTCTTTAGGGTTCCATACACCTTCTTTGCACGATTAGCAAGGTACCCAATCTCCTAGGTGGGTAACAAGCACCTCAGATAATGGGGAGTTTTGTCTTATGTACTTTGACATATTATCAAAAGGGATAGGTCCCTGGAGAGGTACTTCAGGATTAGAATGGTGGAGGGAGATGGGAAAAGAGCAGCCCTCCGAGATTGACTGGCACAGTACCCCAACAACAGGATCCAATGCGGCAACAATGAAAAAGGCTCAGGTAATTCATATTCTGTTGTTGATTGGATTACTTGGATTTGGAATGCCTTAAAGGCACAAAACAACGGGAGCATTATTTTCAAATATTGCACAGTCCTTAAGATTCAGATTAATTCCTTTTTCTTTCCAGAGCCTCCTCATTTCTCACAAGAAGATATTTGACAACAAGTTTGAAATTTTAAGAGATTCTTACAATACCTGCTTTTTTGGTGTATAGCCCCATGGCTAAAGTATTTGTTAAACTCTCTTTTTTATATGTTAATTATTTTTTGTTCTTTTTACTAACAATATATGATTCTCTAGTTTTCAGTGCATTCATTCTAGTAATTATATTTTTTTCAGCAAGAAAAGTGTTCAATCTTTACATAATTTTGAAAGTGATTTCTTAACCGAGGCTTCCTGATTCCTGTTTATAAAGGCCCCTGAGAGAAGAGTGGGCGGAATACTCTTTTACTCTAGATTGGTTGCACCCAAAAAGAGAGAAGTACTTACTAAGAAAGAGGGGAAACCTATTTGACCCCTGGGATTCTAAGAAAATGTCCAGTTTTTCCTCTGCCTGAGTGTCCCTGGGCTCCTCACCAGACAGAATGGTGGAATTATTAAAAGAATGATACATTAAGAAGAAGAAAAGACAAGAGGGTGGTTTTTAGACTTAAAAGGCTTTTACAAAGACAGACAGTGACCTAACAGATAGAATTGTTCTGCGGATTAAATGAAATAACATAACAATATTGCTTATCCCTCGTTTTGCTCTATGTAAAACGTTACTGTCCCAGTGCCTACTCTGGCTCTATAGGACAGAATTCCTAGTTCCCAGCTTCAGGCATGCAACTAGTTTGGCCATTTTATGTTCCAAGAATGTGCAGAGGAAATACGGTCGGGCAGTGAAGATAAGAGAAACCCAGGGGGACCAGAGACGTCAGGGTAAGTTTAAAGAAGCTCCAGGAGATGAAATGGCACAGCGGCTGCCACACAGGGCTCACACAGAACCACTGTGAGGATGGCTGGGAACTGGGGAGGTGTTCCTTCTGTTGTACAGAAGGCCTACCTGGGTCAGAATGAGCTGGATGGCATCCAGCAACAATAACAACATCGGAGGAAAATGCCACACTGAACTTAGCATTCTGCATCATCTTTATACACAGAGCAATGGCTTGAGATTGTTGGGAAGCACAGCATCCCTCCCCTAGCTGCGCAGGATGAGGACATTTTCTCATCTGGGAGGAAAACTCAGTACCTAACAGAAGCACGGTCACTACTCTTAGGTGCTTAGGTTGTATGTGGCAAAAGAATGTCCCATCTAAGTATGTAGAAATCACGTGGCAGGCATTTCCATTACTCTGAGTGTTTTTCAAATGCTTATTTTTCATGTTTATTATATGAAAACTCATCCAGACCAGACTCACAGCCCTGAGTCATGACCTCAAAGGATGGAGTAGAACTGCCTGTATGAATTTCTGAGACCGTAACTCTTTATGGGAGTAAACATTCCATCCTGATGATTTGGGTCAAATTATGGAAATAGAGTACTATCAGAAAATTCAAAAGATGGTTTCACCTCTATTGTGGGTAAATTTAATATTCTTCAACCATTATTTTGCTTGTTATATCTCACTGGGGGCTAACTCATGATATTCACTTAAAAATGAGATCCACATAAGGAGCATTGCTCAGGGAGTGCAGAAGCCCACAGACATGGATAGAATGGGGTGGAATTGACTTACTGCCATTTATTTAATCATTTTTTGAAATAGTTCAGCTTTACAAATCGTCATTGAATTTAATGGGTCATTTCAACAAGATTCTGAAGGAAACATTTGTAAAAAGAAATAAAACAACTCCTTTTTCACATTGTAAATGACAAGATCAGGGACTATGTAAGACACAATATTGTTTTAAAAAGCAAATAAACTGCAAATAAGCCCCATAGGAGTTTAAAGGCTGTAATGTTAGTCATCACAAAGAAAAAACTCTGAGTAATACCTGAAGCACTCTGTTCTCTACGATGCCAAGGCTCTTCTTTGGTGAGATGTAGTCTAGCTTTCGATATGCCATTCCCTTCTGCTGCTAAGACTAGGTTGAATGTGCAAGTGAGAACCAAGTTGTAAGGCCTCCGTCAAAAAGAGGGCATCTTCCTTTAAATTGTGTCTGACACTTACATTTTAACTAAACAACCCAAGATACAAAAGCTTTCAATGGTGGCTCTCCTTTTGACTTTTAATTTCACTTGTAAAGTCTCAAAGACTTTATGTTGCTTTTCTTTTACCTTGCTCCCCGCCTTTCCCCTTCTCCACCCCATTTTTCCCTACATGGGTTCTAAGTTTTACTTAAGTAGCATGAGCAAAAATTAACTTGATTTAATTCAGTTAGAGAATTAATGGTAGCATGAGTTTGTGAGGCATGGGGAAATATAACAGCAAGACAGAGTTTTTGACTCTCCTGGAAAGTTAAAAAGCTAGCTAATTCATTAGCTAGTGCTCACAATGGCAAGGGTGATTGAATGTGTTTAAACTATCCAATGAGTGATATATTCAACTATGGGGAAAGTATTGAATTCTTTTCTCATGCCTTCTCTCATTGCTCCAATCTACACTCTCCCCACCCCTTTGGAAGAGAGAAGATCAAGAGAGATCCAAATTAAAGCATCAAATTTTCAATGACCTCAAAGCATATTATCTGTTGCTGTCAAGTCGGTTCTTACTCATCATGCCCTTGCAGGACAGAGAAGATCTGCCCCCTAGACTGTAACAGGCTGAAATCTTTGCAGCCACCACCTGCAATATCTTCCTTAGGGCGCGCTGATGGACTCGACAACACGTGTTTCAGTAGCAGCCAAGAACTTGACAGGAGTGTCCCAGGACTCCTTCCAGTAATATTAGCAACTCAGAATTGTACCTCTCTGATAGACACATAGATTTATAAGTAACTGCTAAAATAAAACAAATATAAAGCTATAGTAAAGCTTGGAAAAGTACCCTTTATTAGTGCCTATATTAACATATAGGACTTTAGTTTCTCCCTGAAAAAATATCAGCGAAACAGAACTTGTAATTCTCTAAACTTTCAGTTAGTCCAATTTAATCCATGAGATTTTAAATATAATTCTGACAATAAACATGTAGCTGTACATTTCAATGTAATTAGGTTAAATATAGGAAAACACTCATTTAGGTATCTTATCTGTTTTTATTCTTAGAATGTTTCACGTCGAAAATAAAAATTTTACAGAAAAATACACAGACCCACTTTTCTGTAAACACATAAGATTGACATAAGAGATTTCTGCAGAGCAAAAATTAATTGTGGAAGGAAATAAAAATTAAATATATTTCAAGTTTTAGGAAATATGCCTATTTAAATATTTGAAAGATTATCAAATAAGATAACTGATGAAGAATACTCTTTTATATTCGTGAATCACAAAATAACATACTTTCTATGGTAGTTATGTGTAGATAAATTATAAATCTGAAACTAGTCAACAAAGAATTAAAAAAATACATAATAAAAATGAAAAAAATAGAGGGATATGAAAAAAGACATCCTAATTTAGAAATATATGAAATAATATTTGCATTCATGAATGAATGTCAAGCTACAGAAAAATAACTTTTCTTTTTGTTGGAAATATTAAATATATTTATTTATTTAACATGTGTATTAGTATTAAATGTACAATTTTAGATACCTCCAGTATTGGCAAGAATATGGAGAAATATCTTCTCCCTTGAGATCGCATTATTGATGAGAGCATAAAAGGTATATGTTTTGAGGAGGACAATTTGGCACTAAATATGTAATATTTTTTTTAAATGTTCTTTGACCTTCTAATCAATAACAGAACATGTTCACATAGCGACATATAAGGGTTTTCATGTGCCACATCATTTATAATAGTGAAAGTGGGATATGCACCAAGTTTTAAACAATGAAGGATTAGTGAAATACTATATAAAGGAGTACAATGCAGCTATTAAGAGTAGTGCCATCAAAAATAATTTAATGACATGAGAAAATGCTCATGGCAGTCTTCAAAATAAAAAAAAATGCTTTAAGGGACTATGTATATAATGATTTAATTCTGTAAAATAATAAACAGATAAGATAGAATAAACATCAACTATCTCTGGGAGGTATTTATGGCAGATGGTATATTTATATTTGATATGTTTATCTCTTTTGTATTCTTATATAATTTGAAAATGTTTTATAATGAGAGTTTTCTGTTTTGTAACTTAGTTAAAAATGAACAAAAATTAAAACTAGAGACTAATAGAACTTCAGAGCTGAAAAATCTTTAAATTTATGTAATATCTCAGTTGACATTTGTGGGATTCAGCCCCAAGTTAAGGCCATGGTTAAACTGACATGCAGCCCTGGCTGTGTGCACCTTGTTATCCTCTTTTGCCTGAACTGAGCTGTTTAACCCAATGTCTGTAGTTAGAAATGAAAACTTTTCTTTAGTGACTTTGGTTTGAATGCCCTTATTCTAAACAAATGCAAAATACTACTGAGATCTCTCTGGCTCCTCCCTCTTTCTTTAATTTCCTTTACTTCTATGGGCTGAAGTTTAGATTATCCTGAGGACTGTGCATAAGAAAGTGGACCAATTCTCTTTTGTTGTTTCATGGACCACTCCTTCCTCACTCAAATTAACTAACTTTCACTACAGTCAATAATTCACTACTTCTCAGTTATATAGCAGCTTTGTGTGGAGGGAACAGTCTTTGTAAGCACTGGTTAATCCTGAACACACTCTTGGGAAGCAGGTAAAAATTACTAGGAAGGAGGAAAGGGAGAGAGAGGGTAAACCAAAAGTAGCAAAAGATGCCAATGAAATTACAAGCTTGTCTTAGTTTTCTGTTGGCCAAAATCCAGGTAATGATGCGTATGCAATGGTGCAAATCGACATGCTGATAATGTTAACTGTCAGAACTTGAAGGATACAGTTTTTAGACCTACTATGTAGACTCTAATTTGATGCTCTGTAAACCCTATGGCGCAGATCTATTCGGCACACATGGCGTCATAATAAGCCATGGAAACAACATATAGATGGATAGTATTGTAATAGTGTGAGACCACAGAGTCCAGGGCAAAACTTCGGGATTCATTTCCTGTTTCAAGTATTGTTTACTATCTACGTGATCACAAGCAAGTCGTCTAATTTTCCTGGCCTTGGTTCACTAATCTGTGAAATACAGAACAATAAAAAGATCTAGATTATTTTGTTGGTATAAGGATTATATGACATTATGAATGTAGAACATTGAGAGCAGTTCCTGGAATATGGAGAGCCAAATACAAAACCAAACTAATTGTCATCAAGATGATTCTAATTCGTAGTGACTTGAGGAACATGGTAAATTCTATAAATGTGTTAGTTATTATTATGAACTCTAAATATAATATTTTTAAAGATAAAATGAGGAGAGCTACTTTACTATCTTTATATTTTTTAACATCAATCTTACACATTTTAGTAAAAAGAGAAAAGTAACACAGATCTCTAATAATGGGTTAGCAATAGCTTTGTGTTAAAGTTGGAGGAGATTATTAATTCACAAGCTAAATTGACACGGAAGCCTATATTCCATACACAGAATCCTACATGCTCTAGGCGATAGCTTCCAGAAAAGTTTTTCAACCTTTGCTTTAACTTCATCATATGGTTACCTGAGTTACTGTATACCTGGAGAGAACATACTGAAAGGAGACCACTGTCACCATTCAAACCTTGACGGGTGGTTTGACCTTGAGGCTTATTGCTCATCTACTCCATGAGAAACTGACTTTCAATAATTGATTGACATCCTTTTCTTACCTGCCTGATTCTTCCTCATCTTACACCCAGTGGTGATGAAACACAAAATTAAAAAAATCATACTGGTCATATTTCTACCCTTAATTAAACCAAAGGATTTTTGAGATTCACTCCTCAAACAACAATGCATACTATATCACGAGTTCAGTAAAGTTTTGATGTTTTTGCAGAAACGTGTAAACTATTGCAGAGTCGGGATATTGATCAGGCTGAGTGGGCAAGTCACAAGTGGGGATGGAAAATATTTTGTAGAATAGTTCAGTCCCTTTAGTTTTGAATAAATAAATGTAAAATTGATTTTCCATTGCATTTGCTGCAAATACCCAGATATAGTTCTACTAACATAATGTTCCTAAAACTATTGCATTCAATGCTAACAAAATACAAAATGAAGCATAAACACAGGCTTGTTTGTTTTGCAGTGTTTGTGCTGTTATTGTAAGGACTCTATCCCAGTTGAGTAATATCTCTGTCCCCCATTAAACTGAAGACCCTATGCTGATAAATACCATGTCAGGTTTATATACCTAGCTAAATATGAATTAAGACTCTTCGGTAAATATTTGTTAAATGAATGAACAAAGACAGAAAAACTATTATCCTGATATTCAGTTTTCTGATATTCCCCCTTAGCTCATTAGGCATCATGTTTTGCTATTTTACTTATATCATCTTGATAAAGTGGAAATTTTAGATAATGCTTTCATATGAAACACAACAGGTATTGTTATTCATTAGAAATATATTTTTCTGCGGATTAGTCTTATGTCCAGTGCAACATTTTCCTAATACCCATCACCATCAGGTCAATTCTGACTCACAGTGACCCTACAGCGCAGAGGCAGTAATTCTTTATAGCAGGAGAAAGCCTCATCTTTTTCTGGCTCACTGGTGGACCCAAACTGCGGATCTTGTTGTTAGCAGTTCAGATCAACATGAGGTGCTGTTACAAAGAAGCCCCAAGATGATCGTGTTTGGGGCCAAAGTTAGAACATCTTTTCATCTTGACATATATTGAAGGAGTTATTTCATTTGTGAATAAAGAACAAATGTCCACGTCCTTCCAGGGTGACTCAGAGACCAGGATACGAAACAGAGCATCGACTTAGGTTAGAGTACGCCAAAAAGAAGAGGCGGTAGTCAGAGATACAACCCTGCCTAGTCATTGTTGCAAATAACACAGGTAACATGCAGGACCGCGTTAAAACCTAGTCATATCCATCTAACAGATTGCTCTTGTGTTTATGTAACTTCAGCTAAAAGATGATGTGAGGGTATTACGATTTATTATTTATAGGCTTTTCCATAAGCAAATTACAGGATGAGGTATTTAGAGTTGTTAGCCTAGAATACTGACAGTCATGCTAAACAAATCCTTCTAGTTATCTTACTTTATGAAAGAACTCATCTAGGTGTTATTCATTTCATTACAACTTACCAGGGGTCCTCAAACTTTTTAAACAGGGGGCCAGTTCACGGTCCCTCAGACACGTTGGAGGGCCGAACTGTAGTTTAAAAAAAAACTATGAACAAATTCCTATGCACACTGCACATACCTTATTTTGAAGTAAAAAAACAAACGGGGCAAAAACAGGCCGGATAAATGTCCTCGGTGGGACACATGTGGCCCGCGGGCCGTAGTTTCAGGACCCCTGAAAATTTAAATATATTGCATATATGTAATGCTAAAATAACAACAAATTTTGTACTGTGGTAGTTATATAATTGTCAATTTGAGAGGATTACGAGTGAAGGGGTGGAGTCTAGTCTGTCAATCGGATCATAGCCAATGAGGCTTCTGTGTGGGCGTGGTCTTCTGAGAATTTTGGGAAATATGGGATTTCCTCCTTGGAGGTGGGAGGCTTTCTGCTCACATCCTGGGAGACACAGCAGCTGACAAGACACATGGCCCCACCCCAATGCAGCGACCTCTGCCAGCGCTGAGACGTTTCCAATGCTATGGGATCCAAAGACTGCCTACCCACTGGCCTGTGATCTTCCTGCATTTGGCATCATAGAATGCGTTTCGTGAGTCTGAAGAGGACTTTATAGATTGATATCGGACATAGGGGCTAATATTGGGTTTATGGACTTGATCTAGGCTGGGCTGGGATGTTTTCTCAATGTTCATTTGCTCTTGTATATAAATCTCTTTCTTATACATATGCGTCTTTACGAATTTGTTTCTCTAGTCTACCCAGACTAACACATGCACTTATAAAATAAATATATGATTTAAAAATATACAATCCTACATGTAAAATTATTTATTGCTAGGGGTATTTTTCGCAAATAACGGATATTCATAATAAATATATTAGAAAGTATTCTATTCTTAAATTTATAAAATATTTAAAATAATTCCATTCCTTTTGCCAAGGTTGAAATATCTTATACCATTCAAATGGTACTTCTGACAAAGACTACGCTAGTGCAATTGTTTAAAAAGAATGGGTCCATTCAGCATATGCAACCCAATAAATATTGACTACTAGAGTAGTACCAGTTGTAAAAAGTTATTTTTAAAAGACATACTTACAGTGATATCTTTCCCAGCTAATTTACATAATTCCACCCGTTCCTTTGCAGCAGGCCAATAAATCTGTAAAACATTTCAAGATGTGTTAGAAACTGAATATCTAAAACACCCTACATTTCTGATTGGGGGTATGAGTGTGTGAAATGGATGAGCAGATATCCAGCGAATAGTAGACCTTTAAACCAAAGATGAAATTTAAATATTTTCCAAATCCTGAATTGTTTCTAAAAGAAAACTCTGTAGAAACAGTTATTTTATCGTTAATTCTCTATTTTTTGTTCAAATGTACGAATTGATTAATTTTCTTCAAAGGGCCATTCAATAGGATTTCAGACTGGCACTTGCTTCGGAAGAAGCTCTATTGGCCCTACCTTCTATATTTACTCAGAGTGACAAAACATTCTAATCATGTAGGATGAGGTGGTGGAAATAGTTCTCTGTCACAGGCTTACATACTTTATCCTTGTAAGTCAAAGATTTATGTGAATTTTTGGACAAATTTAGTAAGTATTGAGCTCATATTCATCTGTTACCTAGCTAAACATCTTGTAAACATTACCTTTTTTAGATCTCACAATAACCTTTTATGATGGCTATAATTATTCTCCACATTATCAGGTCAGAAAATTTAGTTATATAGCTATTAAATAATATTCCAAGGGTCAGAGAGCTTATAAGCCAGCCAAAACCTGATCCCAAATCATACTGTGACCAGAATTCAGGATGCTAATCACTGCCTAATACCCATAAATGTTATTTAGACATATAACTAAAGGTTAAGAGCTCCAAACTCCTTGGTTGGTAGTTCTTAATCATGTTTTACAGACTTTAAATTATGAGAAACATTGCTTTTTTTTCTTTTGTTTTTTCCAAGCTTTAGAAAGACTGACGGGACACGTTCGCAAAACAAGATTCCAAGAGGAACACGACTCTATTCCTCCCAGAGATGTGCTCTCTGTAAGATGCAGCAAGAAGGAACAAGCAAGGCCAGCTTGGCGTTGCTTGAAATGAATACTCCAAGAAGCGGCAGCGAAATTTTTATTATGTTTCTCACCAGTGTTATCAGAAACTGTTTTAATGAATGAGGAGAAAGAAAACATCCCGAGGGGATACACGGAATAGGACTTGCTAAGCCTCTAATTAACAACAGATTTGGAAGTCACCTGTGTATATATATTCTCTGTACAGTAACATTTTAACTTTCTATAATTATGAATAAAGCCAGGCATAGTATCACACTCAACATTCTCTTAAAAGACAGAAGCATGCAGTAGTTTATATTTTAAATTGAAGTCAGTTTGTTAATTTAGAATACAGTTTAAGAAACCATGAGTTTTATGGAACATAGATTTAACCACATGGTGGACATAAATTTAACAGAAGTGTTTTGATTTGTTCAGATCCAAATATCTGAACAATCAGACCCAAATGTTCTTCAAAGATCTATAGAGATTGAGTAATGGTGTCAGCAATAGGCTTTAATGATGAGCTAGCTTCCATACGGTCTACAAAAATACCTGGAGTTCACTTATTCATAAACCTTAATCATAAATCATTTTAATTATACATTAAAGAGGCAACTATTTCTTTCTTCTTACTTTTACTTTTTTTTAACCATACCAGTGTAATAGGTGATTGGTTTAAACTAACATGAGATACATGATGACTCCAAATTTGAATTTGATTATATTTCAAGAAGGATTAAATGTAGAAGAAAGCAGTACATCATATTTGAAATCTAAATTCGTGTCAAAATATCATAGAATAGCCACTGTTAATTAATCATTTGTTCATTAGACTTGCAAGTATGAAGTGCCTCCTGCAAATCAGGCAAGGTGTGGTCTAAGAGTGCTCAGATTTTAGTCAGGTAGCCAGTTTTGCACACAGGTAACCAAACCCAAACTCAAACTGACTGCCATAGAACTTTAGGGCAGAGTAGAACTGTATCTTTTTGGTTTCTGAGATGTTAAATCTTTATGAGAGCAGGTCATATCATCTTCCTCCAGCAGAGCAGCTGGTGGATTTGAACCACTGATTGCAGTGACCCACTTTGACACTGGGGCTCCTTCCACTCATCAGCTTTGATCCATAAGGTTGGCTGTTTGGAAACAACCAGTGGTTCCATGAGAGAAAGACGGTGCTGTCTACTTCCAGAAACAATTCCAGTCTCAGAAACTCACGCTGGGAGGGTCACTATGAGTCAACAGTGACTCGATGGCAGTGAGTTTGGGTTTTGGTTTCAATGAAAATGTTATCGTGTGGTGTGGTACAGTGGTGTGGTTTAGTCTGGTGTTGTTAGGTGCGACCGGAGTAGATTTTGACACCACATGACAAAAAAGAATGGCCCATTAAGGAGTCATTAAGTTTGAACAACCAAACTTCTGATTAACAAGCAGAACTTTTTTTTTTTTAAGCTCACCTTCCCCAAACCAAACCAAACCAAATCCACTGCCATTGAATAGACTGAGACACCACAGGGCAGAGTAATGCTGCTCTTGTGTGTTTCTGAGACTGCTTATTTTTATGGGTGTAGAGAGGCTCATTTTTCTCTGAGCAAAGGCTGATCCTGCAATTATCAAGCAAGAGGAAAACCCACTATGCCATCAGGGCTCATCTAGTTCAGTTTAATAATTTCAATCATAATTTACCTTAAATAATTGAGACAAAAGGGTAATAGTGTATAGTTAATGATTTAACTTTAATTTTGTCCTGGGGACATGACAGTAAATAGCAAATCAGGGATTATTTTACACTTTGTAAAGAAATACATATCTTGTAAAAGATGTTTTAATGGTTTGGGTGCATATTTACAATCATTGGTTATAAGTCATTTAATTCAAAATATAATGGTATTGTACTATTTGATGAAGAAAGCATCAAAGAGTTGTATTTTAGTTTAGTGGCAGATGTTGTTATAGAGAGATATGTATGCACTGAGAATTTGTAGGAACCCAGAAACCAGTTTTTATAATTCTGCTAGTCACTCGCTACTTATATACAGTATTTTTCCCACCAAATGTTTGTCGTATTGTGATGCTTGTGTGTTGCTGTGATGCTGGAAGCTAGGTCACTGGTATTTTAAATGCGAGCAGGGTCATCCAATGTGAACAGTTTTCAGTGGAGCCTTCAAACTAAGAACAGATTACTACAAAGAAGGAATCAGCTGTCCACTCTGGAGGAATCAGGCACTAAAAACCTACACATAGCATCTAACATCAGCAGATATGGAAAGCCGAATGCATAGAAGCAAAATGATGTCCGAGATCATTTCAGAAGACGCCTCAGTTCGGAAGGCACTCCCCGTCTGAAAGGACACACTGCCTTCTCAAACTATAGTCAACTGCACAGACCTGAAAGGAGTACGGCCTGTGGGAGTAAAGTTTCTGGACCTTCATTTGCTGTTGGGGTGTGACTCAAAATAAGAAGAAACTGCGGCAAAAGTCTAGCATTAATCCGCATTTGGAATGTATAAAGTATGAATCTATGAACATTGGAAGTCATCAAAAATGAAATGAAATGTGTAAAGATTTAGATGTTAGTGAGCCAAAAGGGAATAGTATTGGCCATTATGAATCACAAAACCGTATGGTTTACGATGCTGGGAATTAACCAATCAAGAGGAATTGCATTGCTTTCTTAGTCAGTAAGGATCTTTTAAGACCTATCTTGAAGTATAATGCTATCTGTGATAGGATTATATATATCCTCATGTAAGGAAATCTAATCAGCACAACTATTAAACAAATGTATGCACCTAACACTAAAACGAGTGATTAAAAAAATTATACCAATGCCTTCAGTCTGAAATGGATCAAATACACAATTGAGATGCATTGATAGTTATTGGAGATTGGAGTACAAAAGTTGGAAGAAGAGGAAGGAACAGTAGTTAGAAAATAAAGTCTTAGTCATAGAAATGAAGATGGAGATTGCATGATGGAATTTTTCAAGACCATTAATATATTCATATTTATTTTCTTTTTTTTTTTAAACATTTTATTAGGGGCTCATACAACTGTTATCCCAATCCATACACACATCAATTGTGTAAAGCGCATTTGTACATCGTTT